GTTTTGTGCGTGTGACAAATAATAAAGTGATTATTTATCGAGGAGATAGCAGCCCTTGAAACATTTCCTGTTGGAAAATGCATTTTCATCCTTAGCAAAGATGCAACTCTGGACAGAGGCAGCAGCCCTAAAATTATTCCCAGGCATGTGGGTGTATGTTGGGGTTTCTGACGCCCCCTCCACCCCCCCTCTCATAATTATTTGAGATTAGATATATTGAATTATTATAGACGTCCTCACATCCAGCATTGCTCCTGCATGACAAACCTGACATCTCAAAGGCAAACCCTCCAAAATCACCAGAGCTGTGGGAGAGAGAGGGAACTTGAAATAAAAATTATCCCCCTTTAAACTTTCTGGGCTTTGCTGCTCTCTGGAAGTGTTGGAGTGGATATTTTCCTCCAGTATTTAATATATATATATATAAACACAAAGGGGTAAAATGCTCAGGCATTCCCAGCTGCATGTGGAGAACTTCAGATGAATGTGTGTTAATGCAATGATTCATGAGAAGGAAATATGTCTCCTACCATTCTCTTGGCGTTGGGGTCCCACACCAGCACTGCCTGAGCTACTTCTCTGTATGGCTGAAGTTTCTTTTGCTGCATCTGCTCGTGTGTTTGAGGGACAGAAAAACCGCGAGCAAACCCACCTAAACCTCCCGTTAAAACCAAATCACTCGGCGCAGAAAAGCCTTTACTGGGTGTCTCGTTTTACAGTAAAGGCACGTTATAAAGGTGGGTCAAACTTTACGATGAGCAGGTTTCTCACTTTCTGCAGTAATTTTTTTTTTGGAGGGTTTGGACTTGCTTTTCTCGAGGAACACGTAAAGCAGCAGCTTTGGCTCATTTCCTCTCCAGCTCTGTGGAACGTTCAGCACAGTGACTTGACAAATATGTTTATTGTTAAAACCTCGGCGTTTAGTGATAAGGGCATCGCGGCTCCACGGGGAGCTGGTGGACAGGGGGCAGAGCCAGGAGGGGAACGGCATTTTGGTGCTTCTGAGGGATCCTAAGTCACACAAAAGGAGTGGCACCGGTGAGAGATGGCGAGGCACGACCTCAGAGGACGGGAATTTGCACCACAAAAGCCCCAGACGGGAGGCAAACAGGTTGTCTCCCAAATTCCCCCCCGGCTCCACTCAGGCTTCATCCCAACCCCCCCACCGCAGGGGTGACGTGAGTAATCTGCCGGGCAATTTATCTTAATAGGCTCCCAATGCCCGTTTGTTTTTCTCTTTAACGTTGCAGGTTTCCATTTAATTAAGCAGCTGAGAGGCACGGGCTCGCTCCTGGTGCCGCTGCTTCCCCTGGTGCTGCTGCTGCTGCTGCTGCTCGCGGTGCTCTCGGGGGCTCAGCGAGCCTGCCCCAGGAACTGCCGGTGCGACGGCAAGATCGTGTACTGCGAGTCCCACGCCTTCCGAGACATCCCCCACAACATCTCCGCCGGCTCCCAGGGCTTGTCCCTGCGCTACAACAGCATCCAGAGGCTCAAACCCAACCAGTTCGCCGGCCTCAACCAGCTCATATGGCTCTACCTCGACCACAACTACATCAGCTCCGTGGACGAGGACGCCTTCCAGGGGATCCGCCGGCTGAAGGAGTTAATCCTGAGCTCCAACAAGATCACCCTCCTGCACAACAAGACCTTCCACCCCGTGCCCAACCTGCGCAACCTGGACCTGTCGTACAACAAGCTGCAGGTGCTGCAGGCCGAGCAGTTCAAGGGCCTGAGGAAGCTGCTGATCCTGCACCTGAGGTCCAACTCGCTGAAAACGGTGCCCATCCGGGTGTTCCAGGACTGCCGGAACCTCGACTTCCTGGACCTGGGCTACAACCGCCTGCGGAGCCTGTCCCGGAACGCCTTCGCCGGCCTGCTGAAGCTGACGGAGCTCCACCTGGAGCACAACCAGTTTTCTAAGATCAACTTTGCCCACTTCCCGCGCCTCTTCAACCTGCGCTCCATCTACCTGCAGTGGAATAGGATCCGCTCCATCAGCCAGGGGTTGACGTGGACCTGGAGTTCCTTGCACAACTTGGATTTATCGGGGAACGACATCGCGGGGGTAGAGCCTGGGACCTTCCAGTGCCTCCCCAACCTGCAGAAGCTCAACCTGGATTCCAACAAGCTCACCAACATCTCCCAGGAGACCATCAACACGTGGATCTCGCTCATCTCCATCACCCTGTCCGGGAACATGTGGGAATGTACTCGCAGCATCTGCCCCCTTTTTAACTGGCTCAAGAACTTCAAGGGCAACAAGGAGAGCACCATGATCTGCGCGGGCCCCAAGCACATCCAGGGCGAGAAGGTGAGCGACGCCGTGGAGACCTATGACATCTGCGCCGAGATCCCGGTGGCGGCCACCGAGAGGCCCTACCAGGCGCCCAAGACCCCACCCAGGCCCGTCTTCGTCCCCAAACCCACCGTCTCCAAGCTGGAGAGCCACCAGCGGCCCAGCCCCGCCGCGCCCAGCCCTTCCCTCGCCGTCCCCACGCCGGGAGTGGAGCCGGAGTACGAGCACGTGTCGTTCCACAAGATCATCGCGGGCAGCGTGGCCCTGTTCCTGTCGGTGGCCATGATCCTGCTGGTGATCTACGTGTCCTGGAAGCGCTACCCCGCCAGCATGAAGCAGCTGCAGCAGCACACGCTCATGAAGAGGCGCAGGAAAAAGGCCAGGGAGTCGGAGAGGCAAATGAACTCCCCTTTGCAGGAGTATTACGTGGACTACAAGCCAACAAACTCTGAGACCATGGATGTATCGGTCAATGGATCGGGGCCCTGCACTTATACCATCTCTGGCTCCAGGGAATGCGAGGTATGAACCATGATCCTCCTAAAACCATTTCAGCTGCTGGGAAGGAGAGGTAAATGTTCGAAGCTCTTGAGGTATCTCTAAATGCTCGAAAGATTATTGAGATGTTGTTTTGGTTTTTTGGTTGTTTTTTTTTTGGTGGTGGTGGGGGAGGTGGTTGGTGTGGTCGCTCTTTGAAAGGTTCTCTTGTCCAATGTCAATGGTCAGAGAAGGGATGGTTGTTTTGAATAATTAAGGATTATTAAAATATAGATCAATTTGAAGTCAACAACTGTAGTAAAGGCATCTGGAGTGTTGTTCTCCTCCTGTTTGCACTCATTTTATGAGCTGTGGCTACAAGAGAGTCCTATTTTTAATGTATTGGTAGAGACAGAGGCGTGTAAGAGCCTCTTCTGCTTTAAAAATAAAGATGGAAACCTCTTTACTCAGCCCCCACATGAAATCTTGAGGGGTTTATGGCCTATTTGAAGATAATAGCAAAGATTTGCTGTGTTTTTGGTCTGGTTGAGGAGCAAACCAGAGAGCACCAGGACTGCAGCACAATCCTGGAGTTTTCCTGGAGCAGCAGGAACAACAGAGGCTCCTTTGAACCCGAGCCTTGGTCCAACAGCACATTGGCAAGTGCCTGGCTTGGGAGATGGGGATTCTTGAGGTTTTTAATTTCGTTTCAGTGATCACTGGGGGTTCAGACAGAGCTGATTCTCACATGCTGGAGGCCGTGTTAGGATTTGACTCAGCAACACGGGAGAACACGAACAGCAAAAGCTCCCAGAGCGTCTTTTCTGTTGTTCTGCTTCGCAAGGAAACACCAAATTGTGTTTCATTCCTGTCCATGACTCCACCACTGTGTATGCAAGGAATGGTTTTGCTCTGAATGCTGATGCTTATTTATAGCTGGGAAAGGAGGATTTGCACAATTCCATTGCAGCACTTGTTACTTAATCCTGCTCCTGACGTGGTTTTAGGGCACTGTGTGGGGGGGGGTTTTCTCCCCTGGTTGTGGATGAGCTACCTGAGAGTGTTCCATGTGCCTGTTGGGATTTATCCCAGCCCATTTGTGCAGACTGGGGAGATTCTGAGCCCTGATTTTGGCGTGAGAGGGGTGTTAAAGGTGAGCAGTGTGGAACAGGCTGCAATTCTGGGAGCCAGATTTGTTTCCCCTCCCTGACAAAGGGGAGTCTTGGAGGTGCTTCACATTTGGCACCCGAAATCCTCAGCTGGTTTGGGACCATGGAGTTAAGGAAAAGGAGGAAAAATGCCTGTTTTGGGGTTGCTTTCTCTGGAGTAGTGTTGCCTTCAAAACAGGAATGCACCTGCCATATCCCTGTCATTGCTCCAGCACCGTGGGAATGAAGGTGTGGGGTTTTTATTCCCTGTCACCAGCACAAGCAGAAAGTGATGTTGAAGTTATTTTGAGTTTTCCCTGGCTGTCACAGGGAGCCCTAATTTGGCCTGAAAGGCTGTCTCCCCTTCATGCTCAGGTTTAACACCACTGAAGTTTCATTAGCTTGGATAAAATGCTGTTTAATTTGCGCCACGATGGTGAGGCAGCTGAATTTCCACCTCACAGCTGATCATCCATTTGGATCTCAGAAGATGCAGGGGTGATGTCGTGTCGTTTGAGAGGCTGAAATTCGGATAATTTGGATTATGGCAGATAATTCCAAGGCTGAAGAGCCCTACCAGGTGTAGGACAGGAGATGAGTGTGGTGTAAACTCCTCCCTGGTGTTGTGGGTTGTCACACACCGCATTAAACACAAGGGGACCCCAGCTCACCTGGTTTCCAAGGTGCTGTGGCAGCACCACAGCAGTTTTATTCGGGTTAAATTAAGGTGGTGCAGAACTTTGCAGGGCTCAGGGTGTTTATTGTGCTGGTTCTGGCTGTGATATCAGTGATGGAACACCCAGTGGCTCTCAGCACACTAAGAGAGACTCATAAATAATAGACAATAATAAAGACTTGAGGAAATGGGAAGCAGATCATTGAAGGCACATGTAGCAACCCAAAGCCCTGGGTGAAATCCTCTCTTCAGCTTTGGATTTGACATTCTTCGTCTCCATAGCTACGAGGTTCCACTTGGAAAAGGAGAGACAGGCACTGCACAGCACTTAAAAAAAAAGGGGGAAACAAAAATCCTTGCAGAGTCTCCAGCAGAGGAAAGGGTTTGTGTTTGGGGAAGAAAACAGAAAATGGAGCATCTCTCTATTTCCTGATTTGCCCAAGTGGACATATTTGTGGGAAAATGTCACTCTGTGCCAGTGAGATGCAGCTCAGGCCCCTCTTCCCGTGGGGCTGAGTTGCTCATTCCTGAGGTTTCTCCCAAAAAAGAACCACTTGGATGGGAGAAGAGAGCCTGGCTACCAGAGTGAAGGCAGGCAGGCTCTGGAATTTGTTGCTTAGGACTCTGTGGAGTTTCCTTTTTCAAAGTAATGATTTTCAAATGATTGTCTCCTTCATGTGTATCCACCTCCCTGAAAGCAGCTGTGGTGTCCAAAAACCTGTGTCGATGGTTCCACTGGAGCTGGGAAAGGTCAGAGAAGCCTGAGCAGGTGCTGCTGTTGGTAGTGGGGTGATAATGGATGTTTTCTGAGGTCCAGGAGCAGACCCTGGTCCCTCCACAGGGACCATTTGGGGATTTGGGAGTATCCAGCTCAGCTCCTCCATAAACCACCTGTTTTCCAGGGCAGAACTGGCACTGGAACAACGTGCTGAGGTATTTCCACTGGTTCTTTCCTCCACAGCAGCAGGGGATGGTTTTCTTTCAAGTTTAACGAGATTCTGAGTTTGAAACAAAGGCACACAGAGCTGCCCTGGAGAAGGGGAGGTGCAGGTACACTTTGTGGGGCTGCTTTTTCCAGTCCCTGCTTTAGGAATTATTTCTTGTGCTGCAGAGATGGAGCCAAAGCCAGGCTGGCTGGAAATGGGAGAGACTCTTGGCATCAGTGGGATTATAATCACTGACACCTGGCCTATGCTATTCTATTTAGTCTATTGGCAAGGGCTGCTAAAATAACTGGATGCTCATGATCTTGGCTCTCCCAGGCAGTTCCCAGACTGCTGCCATCTCATTCTGCTATTTGCTTTGTGCCTGTGCATCCCATTCCCTCCGTGTTCCCTATTTATTTGTGCATTTGCTGAAGATCCTGGGGGCCATAAAAAGCCATTTCAGAACCTGAGCTATAATGTCATGTATTTCCCACATCTCACACACACACACAGCAGCTGTGTTTGGCTCACTTTGGGAAGGGGGGAGTGTGGCAGGGGGAACGTTGCTGCAGGAATGTTCCTCTCTCCTGGAAGGTCATTGCTCTCCCCTTTCCCCCAAGGGCTGGCAGGGGCAGAGCAAACACCAGGCAAGCAGGTGAACAGCTTGTTGGTGTGAATTGAGGCCCTTTGAGGGGTGATTGACACGCACCCAGGAGGTCCCTCCTTACATTTCTCCTTCTCCACGTCTGCCCGTGTCCCGTAGATGAGCAGGGACAGCTCCACTGTGTTTTTCTAGTGGAGTGTGAATGGGGGTGGCTGTCACTTGCATTCACTGGTGCTAAACCACTCACACAGAATCATGTTCAGCTGGAATTCTGCTTCCTGCCTTCTTGCCACCGGGGAGAGAGCACAAATAGGTTGAGAAAGGAGTGTGACACACACGGGCCTGGGGGGCTGCTGACCTGCTCCTTCTGGGCCTAACTTAAAAGGGAATGTTAACATGCTGTTGTTGTTTATTATTTATTTATTAAACACCGTTTCTGTGTTGTTTTGGACGAGGTGCAAAGAGGAGAAAGCAGAGCAGCCTCCATCTCCAGGGTGTGTTTAGTGCCAGTTCTGTAACTCAACCTCAGGAGGGTGCCCAGGGGCTCAGCCTGAGCTCAGGGGACAAATCACTCAATGACTGCCTGAATATTCCATAATTTTCTCCTAAGAGCAGTGGTTGTACTTCCTTTGGTTGTCAGCCTGAGGTTTTTGGAAGGAACGCTGAGCAAGGACTTCATGGCAGAGGTGTGAGCTCGTCATGGAGAGGGGGAATGGGAAAGGAAGGTGATTCCACAGGTGGGGCACTGCAAACACAAGAATATGGGAGGTGAGGATTGAGGAGAATGGGGAGCAGTAGCTCTCCATTAGCCTGCTGTCATCACTTTAGGGCCAAAGCAGCGTGGGTTTTTCTCCAGTGACTGTTTTGGAACACAGTAGGACAGGCACTGTAATTTGGTTTCCTACATCCTTCTGTGCTGTGGCTCCTCCTCTGCTCCCCTTCCTCCACTTCTCTGTGACTGTGCACCTTAAATCCTCGTGGGGCTGTAAACTGGAGGGTGAATCAGCCCAGTGAAGCTGTGTCAGGAGCTCTGGGCTTGTGTGGGGAGAGTAAGCAAAGGAGAGGCTGATGGTGCTGCTCCTCAGAGCAGCGTCTGCAAGGGACACTCCAAAGGGGCTCAGAGAGGGGAGGAGAAGGTACACTTTAGAAATCACAATCATAGAATAATTGGACTTAGAAGGAACCTTTAAGATCATCCAGTTCCAACCCCCTTCCAGCAGCCCAAGTTGCTCCAAGCCCTGTCCAACCTGGCTTTGGGCACTGCCAGAGCCTTTAATCAGCACTTCACACATGGCATGGCATCAGCACAAGGAAAGCTGTGCTCCAGAAGCGCTGGGGATGTAGCAATAAATAAATGCAGAGGGGCAAATTTTCCTGGGCTCAGCACTTGTGTGAAGTGTGAGATTTCCCAAAGATGTTCCCAAAATGAGCGGCCGCGTTTCCGGCCCAGCTCTCAGCCAGCTGTGCCTCGGCAGCAATTGAGCCACGGGGCTGTAAATTTGGAAAGGAAGCAGCAGGAGGATGTGGAACACTTCTGAAACTCTTACTCAGTCCTTAGCCTGGTGCCTGGGGGAGAGAAGAGCTCCTCTGGAATTCGGGCTTGTGATACAAGTGCCACTGAGACCTCGGGGAGTTGATTGGAAGGGGCTGAACCCTCATCTCCCAAATTTTCACGGAGCTTGGGAGATTTCCTGACCAGATTCCAGGCAATACATTTGCTCCACTAGGTCTTGTCC